AACTGGAGTTCTGAATTTTTTTTGGCAGAACCCTTAAATGCAGTCTCTGCTAAGTGGCAGTGTTTATTCTGTGAAAACTCTAGCCAGAGCTGTGTCCACTAAGAACTTTTCCAGTCTCTCAGTTGATTAGTGTTTCAGATGTCTGCCATGCCATTTTGCTAAAAGAGCTAGTTCTGGAAAAAAACAAAACAAAAAAACAAACCAGACCAAATCACACACAAAATTATACTATTTTGGGCGGAAGATAAATAATTTTTTTTTTTTTAATGCAAGACTTTTATCACCTCACTGGCTGTCTAGTCTGATATTCCTCCTGTATTGGAAGTTAAGGTGTTAGTTCTGTTTTTCCTGTTAAAAACTACTGATTTATGTAACCAGAGTAGAAAAATGTGCACAAAGAGTAGGAAGTTGATTATTTTCCTTTTTCTTTGCCCTTTGGTTTTAATATATGTCATTAAGGTGTGCCAAGAAAAGGATTTTAGATTCTAAATTAAAGAAAGTTTTCAGATTAACTCAGTAAATTTGGATTCTGGAATAGTCAAAGAAGCATTTTCACAGGAAAGCCTTGCTACTTCCATTGAAGGTAACACGAATGTTATGAGCCATTCTTTGGAACACCTTCATTTTCCCCATCTATGCACTCTGCTCCAGACAGAAAAGATTGGCTACATGAATCTTGCAATAAATTGGATAAATTGGGGGTAATATTTTAAAATATAGTATTTAATGTTTTTTCTCTCTGTCTGCTGCTAAACTGTTCAGTGGGTAGTCAAACAATTTTCCCAGTATTCCTTCCCTGCAGCCACTTCAGTGCTCACTGCAGCTGCAGTTTATCCCACTTAACTCTTGGCATTTGGGTGGTCAGCTGCACAGAGAGGATTGACTGGTTTGCTTGATTTGTACTTCTGTATTAAAAGCAGATGTATTTCTAAAAAATATAAATGTTATCCGTGACAAAAGAAGATATCCTGAAACCTCAATGGAAATCCAACATATTTGTAATTATAGCAGGAAAACTCCAACATATTGACTGTACCAGTACAGTGAAAACATAGTTGAAAGATCAGCTCAGCATACTATTTATAATACAGTTGTATTTGGAATCCTTCATCACAATGGGACTGTTTTGTTTTGCAAGACTAGCCAAAGGAGCTGAAGTTTTATGTATTAAGTACAAACATCACAGAGTTTTAGAATTTTTTTAAATTGAAAATAGTTATATTTTCTCTATGTCCCAAGACATGACGATGTAACTGGAGGTTGCAGGGCTTGAATCTCATTTTGTATAGAGAACATTTTAAAATAAGACCCTTTAAATTCAAGAATGGTTCAGACATGGAATTGGAGCAAGAATATATTTATAAATTATTAATATTAAATCACATACATCAGAAATATTATCTTCATTGTTCTGCCTCATATGATGAATATATACCTTAGCTTTTTCTATACTGTATTATCTACAGTACATCATATAACTTCATTGCCACACTTCTTTTTTATTCAGTGACAATTTTCCTATTTTTATTCCATTTTATCTCTAGTCATAAAAAGTAATCTATGTTTAATATGGCTGTATCCAGCCAGGGGATTAAAAATCTAAAAATATTTTTACTCCAGCATGTGCCTACAGGCTTTTATTTCATGGCATTCAGTGTCAGAGCAGAGAAGGATGTGGTCAGGAGGAAATTGATTAGTCTTTTGATCAGGAAGAATATTACCTGAATCATTTTAAGAGCTGATGGGGAAAGGTTTCTTCCAATACAAAATTTGCTTTGCTGAACAAGGCAGTCTACATTAAAATGTTGTTAATAAGTAATTTCCCATCTCAATCCCATCTGTAATAGCTGTAAAGTGAGTGTGGCCTGGAAGTATTCCACACTTGTGTCTAAAAAATTCTATTAAGTGAACTGTGAGCTCTGGATTTTGGTACATGTGAAGATGTTTCTGTTTGTTGTGGTGTTGCCCATCATGCCAAGTATAGGGAAATACAATGAAAGCACAAAAGCTATCAAGAAGATTAACAGCTGCATACAAAAGACACCTGTAAGAAAGCAAGCTGATTTTATTCTGTGTGCAAAATCTGTCTGGATTTCAACAATACCTGGATCACAGACATAGATTTTCTCCCCAGCTTTCCCTGAGGAAGAGATGCAATCTCATCTAAGTAGCTCACAAACGAGCTGTACATGTGCTTTGCAGGGATCTTTTTTTCAGCTGTTTTGTCTTTGAGTTCATTCAGCCTTGTATGACTGTACTGTCATCATAAAAGATGCTGCACTTGCGTCAGTGATTTGTCTTGAAATGTGACAGGCTTTTTACATGCTTCAGTTTTGCTTACAAGGTACAGATCTCATTATCTGATATTTGGAATATGAAAAGAATGCCACTTTTGCTGGACAATTGCTCTCCAAATTTTAATTGTACTGCTGTTCTTTGTAGCACACTATGTAATTTGTTCTTACATAATTTTCATTGGTCGTTTTGCCACTCATTGCATTCTGGCTCATTTCAGGTTAAAAAACATGATCATATGATACACTGCAGTATCATTAATGAAGGTGAAGTATTTAATACTGTAGCAAAGTATTATGGGAGACAAGTTGGCTACTGAAATATGCCTAATTACTCTCTTCCTATTATGGTTATTTATTTTAGCTATACTTGGTCAAAGAAAACACTTGTCAAAAAAAAAGTCAACAGAACTTCACTGGTCACACTTTGTTTCTGTTCCAAGTCCCAGCCCAATGCCTGTCCTGAGCAAATGAGCCAGGCTGTGGGCAAATATGCCAGGGCCTGAAGGGCAGGAATCATGGCCACAGCCATTTGCAGCTTTCTGTAGCAAGCCACATTGGCAGAGAACACTGCTGGTTTTCTTTCCTCTGGGCTCTTGTCAAAGTGGGGAGAATTAGAACCTTGTTTCTTCTCTCACATAGTTTTATATATGCTTGCTAGGAAGCAAGATATTGCCAAATATGGATTATAGGGCTCCAGCAGAATCTTTTCAGCCTGGCTGTCTGCCAAAAAAGTAAAATCTTCAGAAAACACAAGGCTATCATATTTGCCTGACATTTGTGGGGAAGTTGTATGTGTATGTGCACTTTGGAGCACTCATGCAGTAACCCTGATGTTCCTCTAAAAGACTGAGTTTACTGTGTAGCTGATATACTGCCAAATTTCTAACTGTGGTTACCATTTTTCTGAACAAATGTATGTGCTCACTGTAGTAAATTGAATGTATTTCGGAATGCACATACATAAGAAATACGTGTAGAATTTTTGGACATATGGTGACCTGTTTGGTACTGCTGTGTGTGCATAGCTGATGTGACCTAAATACAAAATAAGTAGGGTATGTATGTACATATGTATGAATAACAGAGAGATGACTCCCAGGGGAATTAGGAAAACCTCAGGAGTCAGAGACATGCAGGGATACACTGCATAAAATCTCATGAGTGAGCATCTGTGAGTTACAATTCTTAGGATCTAAGGAGAAATAATTAATAAAAGAACTCTACAGGAGTTGTATGGCTTGGTGGTTTTATCTGTCCAGCAACAGCTAGTGTCATTATGGGTACTCACAAATTATACCGCCGTCAACATTTTGTCTGTTGTAGTTTTCTGTATTCACAGATGGGACCTCTAAACAGACCTTTCCAAGTATAATTCCAGACATAATTTAGTTTTCATAGTACTTTGCATAAATGTCTATTTTTGATTATACACTGCTCTAATTAATTGCAACATTTTTGTCAGTTTTAGACTGGGAAAATTAACAAGAAAAACCAATTGCTTTTCATGTAATATTGGTTTCTGAAAGAGTTTCAGAACCAAATTGCACCAATATGTCAGAGGGAAATACGATCCTGCGTACAATTTATGTATTTCATGGTGTTGAGTGAGGAAGGCTAAGTACAGAAAACAGTTTTATAGTTAACCTGTAACCCTATTGATTTGAAGCATGTCAATTTTAAGAAAAGCATCTGTATGCTTGACTAATCTATATTAAGCATTGCAGTTATCCTTATAAAGAATAAGCTCATTAATATTTAAACTACACATTAACTGCATCTCATATAAGGAGATAATATTCCCTACAACTTCCATTAATTATCACCAAATTAACATGAACTGAGAATAACTGATTTGGAATAAATATTTTATGTTTTAAGCTGAACCTGAGTAAAAGTGATAACAATAGTTTTAGTGACCCATTATCTGCTCATTTTGGAGTGCATCTGTTTTAAAACAGATGCAGCTAAGTTTTGGATTGAGACTGGACAATGCTAGAATTTGTTGTTCTCTTATCCCATGTTGCTTTCACTTTGCATGTTCTAAATGAGCCTAAATTTGAGCATCTGTGGAATAACTGTGATCTCCCAGAACTGCAGTATTTGCATTTCTGTAGTACTGTTTACAATCTCAAGGTTAAAATACGCAGTTGCACAGAGATGTATGTTGTAAGCTCGTGGTGTCTGGCTGTCCCAGTGAAAGCTTGCTCTATAGATAGGATGTCAACTGAAGCTTTTCTCAACACAATGCAAATTTTATAACTACCACTCAGAAAACAGTTTTTGTGCAATGACGTGAAAGGACAATCTGAAGAAGCACTCTGTGTTGTGTCATATTTATTTAGTTTTCATTTGAGAACATAATTCCTGCAGGGAATTCTGTTTCAGCCACAGAATGGAGGCCTGTGAACAGCTCTTCATTCTGCCTGAATGTTCCCCTATGAATTGCTGATGTTTAGGAAAGCTCACAGTGACAGAACAGGAGACAGCAGCTTTGTGCTTAGATGACAATAGTCTGTGGCTGTGCTAACAGCAACTGGCACCATTAACTACCTACCCATAGACTGAAAGCAGAACAATTATCACTGCATGTATTAGAATGATGAAATCCACTCTGTTTCTATAGTAACAGGAGTGACAATTTATATTATGACCTTAAGAAACTACAACGTGACCATTTCTTTTTCTATTTTTTTTTTTGCAGTTTTAGGAGGAGCAGCAATTCTCAGAGAAAATAATGTTTAAGATGATGTACATAGTTGGCAAACATAAAGGTAAGACGTACTTTTCCAATAACAAAGAGATGCACAACATATGTTCAAGTTGGAATGCTGATTTTGACTATTGTTATGTAGAGACATACCCAATTTAGTGCTGTTTGAAGGGGATTATTCTTTTATGTTTATTACAAATAATTTTAAGTGGAAGCTTTAGAAAAAATAGAGAGTAAGAGAAAATATAATGAGGACCTTAGCGAGTAAAATTTTTGTAATTGTTTGGCCACATGGTCTGACATAAACTATCATATGAAAAACAGTTGTATATTCTGAGCTTTCTTCCTCAGAAGCACATCAAAGCATCAACTCTCTGTAAGAGATTAGTTCATTGATATGTTTATTATACTGCAGCATTTTTAAGCCTATCCAAGCTAGCCTTTGTTTAATTAGTTTTTTTGTTATAAGCAGAATGCTGTGGCTGTCTCACTAGATTTTGAAAAATCTATCTTTATAGATATTTTATGAATATTATGGTATAAATCTGTCAAGAGAACAATTCTTGAATTCTTTAAACTGATTTCAGCATTCTGTTTTAGTGTTGCTTTGTTTCATAATCACCTCCCTTTACAAACTATATAGCATGTGTAACTCTGCAGTCATTTAGTAACAGTTGTAATTCTTGAAACATTTAATAATTTACAACCTTCCCTTTTCCTACATACTTGTCTTGCCCAAAGCCTCGCTCCTCATTATGTGTTAGATATAACACATGCCCCTACAAGCCCCTCTGGAGCTCTGCTAGGAGTGAAGGATTTGGAATATCTCTCCAAGTTGCCTACAGCTTCAGGAGTGTGACACTAATCCATGTCTGGTGGCATTTCCTTGCATGTTACAGAGAAAATCACATAAAAAAAGAAGAACTTAATTGCAACTCTGTGCTAAAACATCCTGGTCACTTGGTGCTGTTTCTTTTGGTGCAGTAATTAATTGCAATCTTGAATTTATAATATTTCTTTTAACTAAGATAAATTACTAACCTTTACCATAATTCCAGGAGGGTCTATAGCCATGTGTTTTAGAAAAGTTTTTAACCTTCAGCACATTTATAAGTTTCATTTCACGGCCGTAGAGCAGAAAATACAACATATTGTATCCTAATGCCCCCTTTCTAAGACCTGGCTTAGATTGCTGATTTAAACTGCATTTTTGTAGTGTATGTGGATGTTTTAAGTGATGGTATTTTTTTTATTATTATGCCTCCCAGTTTTGAAACATTCTCTCTACATGGGCAATTATAGTGATAAACACAGAAATTTTTCTTTAAAAATACAAATAATTTCATTTCAGAAGATAAGTAAGCCTTCTGTTCAAAGTCTGAAATATTCAACTAATATTATCTCAATTTCTAAGGGGATTCAACTTAGCAAATAACAAAAGTTAAGTGAGAGTTAAGATGCTAAATATTTCTAGTCTAGATTTGCACATTATATATGTAGTCAGTTATATGAAAATAAATCTTGCAACTCATTAGCCAGATTTTACATCACGTGTGAGTTAGGAGATTATGTGATTGTCATCAGAGCCATCACGGAAGCTACTTAAATAGAACAGGAAGAATGAAGAAGATTGGTTTTGTTCATGTAAAAAGAGCAAAGCTCAAAACCACCTAACACAGTTCCTCTTCTGAAGCACAAATGGAATAAAAATCTCTGTTTAAGGCACATAATGACACTTTGTTTTCTGACTTCATGAGATCAAGAATGGTCTGAAAAAATAAAGAAATCTGGCTAGTCTTTTCATTCTTCATTTTGATTTTGATGATTCTTATATATGTATAGATGTATGTATGTATGTATGTATTTTGTCTACTCCTTTGACAGTTCATCTCTGGGTGGAAGGAAGATTATCAAGAGACTTTTCATGGAATGGAGAAAAAAAGGAATGTAGGTTATTTATGCTGTTCTTGGAATTTCAATGATAGGATTATTTTTTCTTAGTTACACAGTTACTTCACTTATTTTAGCTTGCTTTTTCAAGGAAAATATGTAGAACTATTCATTTGTACTTTCTTGGGTTCTTTTATAATTACAAAAGCTGTTTTATGCTACTCAAACCCTATAGAATTTCCCAATTATTCTTATGTTAAACATCTGAGATGACCATCTAAAAAAAGCCATGTGGCACCAAGAAGAGAATTTTGTGAATTAAGAGTTAATGTTACACTTGATGTGCAAGTACCATATAAATCTTCTAAATGTCAATTAAATTTAGAATTAACAAATCAAACTCCAGCTAATAAAAAGATCCTTAGAAGAATAAAGGAGATTAAATAGTTAGGCTGTGAATGCTTGTGAGTACACATTCCTTATTAAACCATAAAAAGTTGAAGGATCGTAACAATGGTTAACAGTAAAATCGGTTCCATACACAGACATGCATCAATAAAACATTACTGTACTAATGTTAATATTACATTAAAACAGTGCTTTGTAATAGGAAGCAAACTGAAAAAGAGCCGTGATAAGGATAGGTAATCACTGTGTTTTATAAGGCAAAATTAACAGCTAAATATGTCTGATTTTAGTTAGCATGTACCAGATTGACTTTATATTTTAGTGACAATTTTCTACTTGCTGAGCTTCTGTTTGTTCATGCAGTTTTTAGACTATAAAATCACTTTTTCTTAATCCCTACAGCAGTACAGCTCTATCATTGTTAAGAAATATTCCATTTTTTCCCTCCACATTGTTAGATGTGCAAATACATGTTGTTGTTCACTCACTGATCCTTCAAAACTAAATACAAGTGAAAAAATGAAACTACTCTTCTCTTCATTAAAACACCTCAAACAACTTTTCTAGTTTTGGCAAATCATAGAGAAGATCAGGGAACAGAATTCTTTCCAAACTAGGTGCTCATATGGAAATGAAAATGAAAAAAATAGAAGTGAATGAATTACAGCTCATTTTCTTCTTCTGCATATGTTCTTCTAGGACTAATGTACACAGTATTTGCAGCTCATTCTTGTTTGCCTTCTTGTTTGCCTAAAGAATTCTGCTCAAGATCCTGAATGTTAATACATGCCTTGAATTCTTATTAGTATCCCTATTTCACCTCTGCTGCTACAAAGGTTCATAAATAGTTCTGCTTTTTGGCCTGGAACTATGCAGAGAGTCTGTAATGACAGACTTCAGTGATGACCAAGTACAGAGAAAGTTCAGTAAATAAAGAGCAAGGCTGTGGTTCCAGTTTCCAAAAGGGAAAGGCTATATGCAGAACATGTCTTTCAATATAACTGGAAGTTTCCATTCTGTGGTTTTAAACATATGAATTTCAAATTAAACCTAGGGTGGCTTTGATCTGGTAAGATTTTATTAAATGGAATCTATTTCTGATTTTTCCTTATATCTTGGCTTCTATTTTTTAAAGAATTGTTATTATATTTTACAGACCAATATGAAAGTATTTTTTAAAGTTAAATAATGAGAATGCCAAAGTCTAATCTACCTATATAATCTGATTTTTGCCTTTATTCCACCATTTCGGTAATATCCTTTAAAATATTAATTTGATAGAGAAGCAAAATGTCACATAACTTGTATATGGATATGAATGTAAGTCATGTCTCCATGGCATATGGTATTCAGCTGAGCCTGGTACAGTTGACATATGTTTAAGTACAGTCTCTTTCTGGTATTAGGTATTTAAATTTCTTCCTTTGCATTTGCTGTAGCTAAGATGACATGGGGCATTTATAACAGTCATAGAAATACCATTTTTCTTGAACAAATTGTTCCTGTTTACTTGAACCTTTCCAGAGAGTTACTAGAAAAATGTGCTATGCAGAGTGAAAACAGCAAATCTCTACTGCTGGTAATAAACTCAATTTGCAATAAACTGCAGTCCATCTCACTAACTCTGTTGTCCATAAATTTGTGACATTTCAAGGACTGGAAGGCTTAACTCTTCTGCTGTCATTGCTTGCTGTCCTGTACTGGGGGAATGTAATGACATTTTTTGTATAAAATGTTGATAGTCTGGTCATTGTAGTCTTTACCTTTGATTTCCAGGTTATTTCTAGGCCACTGTTAAATCTGTGAGCAGCTGCAGTGTTCAGCAGAGGGTCCTGCTTAGCTCTTTTAATCCCCCATTCTTGAGTGTGGTAAGATACACTGGGTCCCAGAGTGGAACCACTGTCTTGTCATACTGCAACAAATCTAGATAACAAATCTTTCCAAAAATTGGATTCACTCCTCTAACGTTGCCATAGCAATATCAACAGCACATTCTGAAGTGAAAGTTTTTAATTTTATGTGAATAACTGAATTAGGGAAGGAGCACTTAAAAGCTTTAGATATGTTCTACTTTCCTAGACATGCATAATAATAATGTACCTTTACTTGTATTTATTTTAGGAAAAGGAATGAGAACAAAGAATTCTTTAGTGGCAGAGTATGATGTCTTTTAATTATGTAGTTTACAATGAGTGCAAAAAATGGAGAACACCATTTGTAAAGTTAAATTGAAACACTATAAGAAAGTACTTAGTAATTTTGTAGCTTCATGAACTATACTTCACAAACTACTATCCTGAGTGATAGTCATCTTCTCTTAGATTTATTTCCTATAAATTCAGATACAGTATAGGAGATGTGTACAAATTATCTACCACTGCAAACAGATTCCTGATCCAAGCATGTACACTGTCTTCTTTTATTCCCTCCTTAATCAGCTTTGTACTGTGATCAACTTTCCAACTTTTGCTTTCTGCTGATATATAGACTTGGAATGCTAAATATATATATACCTTTGCAAAGAAAGAAATCAGAAATATCAGGATAAATTTACCAGATATTTAACTACCTAGTGTTTATCAAGGATGCAAATCTAAGGAATGCACCCAGCTGGCATGCCACAAAACTCTGCTTTTATGATGGCAGATCTGTAGGGCTTTTATTGCTGCAAATAAGGTGGCATTGCAGTACAGTCATTGCAACACTGTGGCTACAGTAAGAGACTGGATTACAATTTACTTGGGGTGGTTCTGATTTTTTAAA